TGGTTTTAACTTTCGAGTATCATATTATCTATTTCATATTTTATTAGCATTATTAGCGTTATTAGCATCATTATTATTGAGGATACGAACTCTATTTGTTTGATCCGCAGGAGCACGACAAGAACGTAAACGACGACATCGCCATCATCATGAAGTGAAGGAACAGCGAGAGGAGAGTCGAACTCGCAGTAGAAGTCGGAGTCGAGACGGCAGCAGCAGCATCCCTGCTAAGGATCAAGAGCAGTCGTAGCAATATCTAGTTGGTTTCACCTCCATTCTCTATAAGCCTTCATGCGTTTCCTATTTCACACGGCATTGTATAAAAGTACAATTCAGAACAACTCGGGATTGTATGCACGCATCGTCAATCTCGCTCGCCAAGGCCACGTTCTTCGAACCGTACTAGTTTGGTTAGTCTGTGGTGTGGCTCAGGAGCGATTAATACGGTTTTGGCATGCATGAAACTGAGGAGCTTGCAGGAAGGTGTGGAATGACACCGGGGACATGCATATGACTAACAGACATTTTATAATTTTTCAATGGAGGAAGCTCGAGCACTCCTTGATCAGCTTATGGGGCGTGACCGTAACGCTACTGCAGCTGCCAAGTCAAAGTCGTCAGAAAACAGGCTAAACTGGCTAACTCAGGATCAGTACTGCCCCTACTATCTGGTGGATTTCTGGTAGCATAGGCTGTCTCCTATGGTTGCTGCTCATGATGGTTGCCTCAGCCCGAATGAGCTCTTCGTGAATACTCGTGCCTATATGGGCAGTTGTGGGAAGGAGCATTGTGAGTACACAAAGTTTCGGTTTGATCAGATGGAGGACGGTAGAGAAAAGAGGGAAATAATTGACAGGTCTGTTGAGGCACGATAAGGGAGGTTATGGAGCTGACTATTCGAGAGTAGGTACGAACGTAAATTACTGAGTTATTGCGAGTACATGGAGACTCAGCTGGCGCAGAAGATCCGCAGAGGTATGTGGCGTATGCAGGATGCTCGTCATCTGTGCTGCTTCAGGAAAGGCTAGGGTAGCAACGG